TAGTAGCAGCAGCAGCAGTAGCAGTAGCAGTAGCAGTAGCAGTAGTAGTCGTCGTCGTCGTCGTCTTAGTAGTAGTCGTAGTAGTAGTAGTAGTAGTAGTAGTAGCAGAAGTAGTAGTAGTAGCAGCAGTAGTAGTAATGGTAGTAGTGGTCGTCGGCATAGTGGTGGTGTTTGGAGGGCAGCCATGGCGCTCGTAGCAGTAGGAACAGTAGCAGTAGTAGCAGCAATAGTACTAGCAATAGTGCAGCAGAGGAGCATTATGTTGAATTGGAGGTGGAATCAACAAGGTCAATGAGTGACAACCGTTCCTGCAGAGGCATTTCACCACTGCAGCGAACTCCTCGCGCCTCCTTCGTGATGCGCCTCCTGAGGCGCAGTGGTTGGAAGTTGCATTGAACAGCAGCACAGGTCTTCGGAAACTCTGCTTGATAGCGACTGATGCTATTCTCGATTCTTCTTCCTGGTTACGATTGCTGCATCTATTCGCTCTCACCACTATCGGTACTAGTGCAACTACTTACTAGTATGTGTCGCTGGCAAAATCCATGATGTGTTTCAATCACTGTGGCTAGTGCCTCATCTTCATGAGCTTGTTGCCAGTATTGCTGGAGCAATGCTTTGCACTCACCCTTGCACCTGTCCGCCAAGGCTTTCAAGGCCGACCGAGTGCCGCACTATTGGTGCTACTTGTTAGTACTTCGTGCATCCTCCTCACTGCTGCTACTCCCACAGATGCCGGCGAAGAGCACAGCGACGAAGAAGAAGGCAACGATGGAGAGGAAAGCTGACAACGAGGATGACGGCCAGCAGCACGCAGAACGAGTAAGATGAGGAGGAGGAGGAAGAGGAGGAGGGGGAGGATGAGGAGGAGGGCGAGAAGAAGGAGTAGAGTGGCAATAACCATGAAAGAAGCAATTATGACGATGTCGGCGCTGACGACGAACCATGATGACAATGGCGTTCGTGGTGATGATGGTGAGGACAATGATTCTGATGATGGCTCTGAGCATAATGACATTCAGAAAGAGACCGCGAGTGATAGTGATGAACGGCGATGATGTTTAGGCCGATATGGATGTTGCTGATGACGATGCTGCAGATGATGTAGTCCGATGCGGATGTTGCTGGTGACGATGCTGCAGATGATGTAGTCCGATGCGCATGTTGCCGATGACGATGCTGCAGATGATGATGGTGGTGGGGGTGGTTTTGGTTCATGAGTCAGTTCTCGGCTCAGACGTCGCTCACATGTCAATGTAGTATATAAGTGCGCAAGAGCTTAGGCAAAGGGGTCGAGTCTGATGGTCACGCTGATGGTGAGGGTGACGACGATGAGGAAGCACAGATGGCTGGACGACGGCGGCCACCCGCGACAATGATGTCGATTCTCGTGTTTGCTGCTGGTAACGTTAGCCTCGAGAACCACTTTCTTGTCAGGGAGGAAGCGACAGCGCTGTCGTCCTAGTGATTCGTGCTGTCGTGGTGAGTCTTCTCACAAGACGAGATGCAGGTCTTCTTGGAGCTGGGGCGCCGAATCTTGGCAAGTGCTTATCATCGGCTCGTGCCAGTTTGCAGCGTCCGTGTCGGTTCTCGCGTGTGGAGTTCAGTTTTCAAAGCTCCAGACTCTGTTGCATCAGTCTGTGAACCGGAATCCACGTGACAGGAAACTCGACGCTAAACTTCCATTCCTACGGCGTGCTGGCGCAGAGCTTCCACCAGGCATGTGCGAGAGAATTCCCTTACAGAATTTGCAGTGCGAAAATCGGTTGTTCCAGATTGTTTTGGGATGGGGATGGACCATATCATGCCCAGAATTTGAAGGCCTGTTCCGTACGGTCAAATGAACGGATACTGCATAGTGTTCTTCTTGACTCATCGATTGTCCGGCTTACTGTAAGGCAAGCATCAGGATCAGAAGTGTGGTCGGGCAAAGTCTTTTTTGTCACAATTTGAAAGTGTGCTCCATGCTCAGATGGCTTCTGCAGGCAAAGGTGCCGAATTTCCAGCTCCTCGCAACTGACACGGACACACGTGGGCAGGCGGGCTGATCTGGGCAATGGCAACTTCATTCGACCTGGAAAGAGGTATGTTTCCTGCGGCCGATGTAGCATGACCTCGAGCGGGCGAGACAGGTGTCCGTCGCTTGTGCTGACCATTCCGAGGCCCACGGTATTCCTCAAGTCCTAGTCCTAACTGCCAGCTCGTCCCCGAAACGACAAGAAAGGCAAGATAACCAGGTGACTTGCAGTCACACGGAATTTGCCGTCGCGAGGTCTTTGCTTCGCTGATGGAGCACAATGAGCTGCCAATGTTTGCGTCGCAATTTCATCCAGCTCCTCGGTTACCTAAGGCATGGAAGGCACCTCTTCATCGAGTTTTCTTCTTGACGGTGCTAGAGTACATGGCCGGTTCATCTGGGGTGGGATAAGAAGGAACCATTCAACTGCTGGGTTGCCAACAAGCAGCATAGACTAACTTACTTGGCTAAGAGTATAGTGGGGTGGCTCTAGGTGCTCACAAGCTGATCCTGATGCTTACCGGGATTACCGGGACTTCTGGGCTCGACTGGCATTGCGAACAGCCCGAAAGCCATAACGGCCGTTGAAACTGCAAAGAGATGCTCCATGCCCCTCCGGCAGTTGAATGACTTGGCCGCAAGACTATGTCGTGGATCGCTCTGTCCTACTGTAGCTGCGCACAGGAGCTTTACTACTTCTTGGATCCTGATAGCGCTGCACAAAATCCGGCTGTCCGACATGCTGTGGAAGCCAATCGCTACTTCATGCACTTCTTTGTGAAGGACCTCTCGTGTTGAAGTCCGTGACAGAAGGTGTAGGCTTGCAGCTTGGTCCGTGCATGCACTGACCTGCAAGTAGCTGCAGCCTTTCTGAGCCCGCAGGAAGCAGCGAAGAATGCTGCAGCTGTTCACGCCGACTCAGCAACACCGTTGAGCCTCGTCGGAATCACAGCTGAACCACAGGGTTGACTTTGCCGACGTACAGAGTTTGGGTTTAGGACGACGGGTTTGTCACCAATCAAGCTAAGCCCCAGAAGGGATCAGGCGCATGGCTTGCACGCAGTGCGTTTGCTGTTTGCGAGATTGCGCCAGGCCCGTAGCAAGATGTCACGCAGACACTCAGCGCAACACTTCGGGGCAAGCTCGAAAAGGGAAGTTCTGCGAGGCTGAGGCATAGCCTCGCTCAGGCTGAGTTGTTTCAGTCTAAGTGCATCTGAAGGCGAATTGGCGAGTACCCCATGAGCTTCCCTCCGCTGGGCATCTTCGGAAGTGCCACCTGGCTGCAGTCGGCTCGCCACGAAACGACCACAACACACACACACACACACCCAAGCACATCAAGGGCAGTCCAGTGGACTGGAGCTTTCAGTAGATTTCCTGTGACCTGAGTTCTACTGTCAACCTTGAGGCATGTGATGTCAGCCTCTGTGGCTTCATGTCTGAACCCTAACAGGCCCTGACACCAAGCCAACGAAGCATTCGTTTCCCAGTCTGGCGGCGAGCTCTTCCCGGGAAAGATCCTTCGGGGACATGTCTGGAACTACAGCAGGCGCATGCGTATGAACACTCATCAAGAGTGCATGGCCGCAGCGTGAGCTCTGCGCTTCCTGCACCTTCAAGCTGCCAAGCATGAGACCTTCAGACAGTTCGTCGGGTAGCAGTAACTTTTGTTCTGATCAGTTTGAAAGAAGAGGCCTCGGCGTGAAGATGCCACCTATGTCCTGGATGCTTTTTGTAGGAGACAGAAATCTGCAACATATGTCCATGTATTACAGCACGATTCTGATACATGTACATGTGTGTTATAGTGCAGTATATTACATTGCATTATATTGCAATGCCATACATTGCAGCATGCTGTGCTATGTGATACTATGCTTTACTTCCATGTCATGTTACAGTAGTTCAAGCTGTATTTGTTTATGTAATGCCAGATTACACTATGCTATACCATACTGTACGGTACTATACTGTGCTACAGTAAACAACTTATGTGGCATTATATTGTGAAATATGTTTATGTTCTGTTGTACTATGTTATCGTATTGTACTGCCCATATCTGTGCTGTATGCAAATGCATTTATCTATATACATATATATATATATACATATGTGTATATATATATAGATGTAGCCATATAGTAATATGTATAAGATGTATGTGTATATATATATATGAACAAGAATAAGGAACTGTTATCATAGTTTTTATTGTTGGCTATTACTTTTTGATTGTGACTATGATTCTAGTTATGACCACGACCATGAATATGATCATCCGCGTGCTTTTATATATATATATACACACACCATACACCGTGTTTTTTTGGGGTGCGGCTGGGAGGCCGATGACGGCCGAGGAGCTGAGTTTGCTCGCGGCTTCGCTGCGGAGGAGCAGAGGGAGCGGCCTCCTTGGCCCACTAGGCGCGGAGCATTAACTCTGCACATAGGGCTGATGACATATCTTGCCCTACGGTTGATGAAATAAATCCTGCCTTACCCATAATAAGGAATATTCCATAATTCCCATAGTTTAGGGTCCTGAAGGTAATGCAGGGGTCGTTCTCAACATGAGGGTCCTCTGTTCGGTCCCCAATACAGTACGGCACCCTTATAAGGAGGACCCTCAAAGGGATCCTAATTTAGAGAACTACACACATACGCAATAAACTGTTTTATGTACAGTACTGAATCTACCCAAGTATGGACATACAAATACAGTATGTATAGTACTGAGTCTGCTGATGCATGGACATACCACTATAGTATGAGCATGCGCACATATGGACATGTTCTTATATCTGCCTGCTGTTACACTGATATGCTGGCATGTTGATAAAGTATTTAACAGGTTGAAGAGTATCAATGTAAGAACGAATTAACATATCATCATAGTGATACACAAATGTGCCAGTACGATATGAGTATATGGTTACATGATAGTTATATGAATGTATGCACTCATGGATGTTGGGTGTATGAACTGTTGAGAATGCTTGATGAACACAGAAGCATATGAACGTATGAGACTCTAACGAGACACACATGATTATGTGCATAGATGAAGAGCTGAATACATCAGCAGGTTAACATACAAATATATTGGAAAGCAGTCTGCTACATGGCGGTCCATCATAGTAGTTAAAGCTCCTTGAGCCACAGTTTACATGAAAGGCCAACGGCATAGCTAAAGATGCCTTCGCGAAAGTTCCTTGATGGTGCCGCGAAAGTGAACATTTTTTCCGGGACGAAAGTCATCCATTTAGCCTGCATGCCTTAGCACTACTATTTTTTAAGTTTATTGTTAGTACCATGATTGTTGTTAATGCTATTGCAATTAAGATTACTATTTCGTCATCTATTCACACATTGCTACTGCGATAAAGACTTAATATTTCGTCATAAATCCACAAACTAATATTTAGACTTGTTAACGTGCTATATATGCATATGGTATTAGCCAATATCATAGTATATCATAGGTATTCTGTTATCGTATATTAGTTTGCGCCGTTTCATACTACATTATAGTACTGTATAGTATAGTGTAGTATGGTATCATACTACCCAGTTACCCCTGCAAGATACTTTCGGAGCAGCCTTGTCCCAGCTTCGTGGTTTCATGTTGGCTAGAAGCTGGTCGCGTCTCAGTCAGCATGTTCGGAGGAGAGTGCTCCCGTCTGCTCCCCCCCAAAAAAACACGGATTTGCAAGATCCCAATCTGGCAACAGGCCCCATAGAGGGCCCGTGGGTGGCCCGGGCAGCAGCTCCTTGGCAGCAGAGGAGCAGGAACTTAGAGATGCAGTCGTCTGTCGTGTACACTTCATGGCCACTGCTGACAGAAACGCAAGATGCACTCATAGCGCGGCATGAGCACATGTCGAAAAGATGAGACCAAGCAGCTAGCAGAGGCTTGCAACAAGATTCTGGACCAGAAATCTGACCCATCAGTGACCAGTCCAACAGCCCGCAAGCACAGGTGGTCACTGCAGCTTTGTTGACTGCTGGCATGTTATCTGCCTGGCTCCGGAGATCAAAGGTCGAGGGCGAAGGCGCGACTCAGCGAGCTTGAATGCTCCTCTCGTCCGTGCTTGGTCTGTAGTCGCTTGCGCAGTAGCAATGAACATATTCGGTCCGGGACCCGACCAAATCCAGGAATGCGAAGACTAGACCTCTGGAGATCGGCAGACGGCTGCACGGGTTGCTGCTAGGCCTACACGTAGCTTCCGAGTCCGAGCTTTACCAGGTTGTGCCTCTGCACGATCTCCGCTCCTCGCCGATGGCCCAGTTCTGCCCGCCTGAGTGGAGGGACGTGGATGGCCAAAGTGTCTTAGGGGCTCACACCAGAGCGCTTCCATTACGAAGGTTAACTCAAGCCCAACAGCTTTTGCAGCTTACTTGTCTCTGGCGTGACGGGATCTGTGACACCAGTAGTGCTAGTCTAGTAGTAGCCGGTTCCTCTAGGCACCGTGGGGTGCTAAGACGCCTTGCCCACAGGCACCGCAGAGCTTTGTGTTGGTAGCCCGATTCTTCGGCTGCTTCTCTTCTGTTGATAGTGTCCTGAAGACACAAGAGGAGTCACAGCATGAAGAGGATGTTCGGTTCTGATACCATCGGTGAATTCTGAGAAGCAGTCGGCTTATGGGCATGGCCGCCTTCTGCACATACAGATTCAAGGATATGTGTTCGTTATCTCTGCGGAGTGGGAGGCGCACCGCATCCTACGGGATAGGCAAGAGCCTGCCGCTTACTTCTTGGAACTGTGGACACGCCTTGAACTTCAGATGTCTCCGATCTATTCAATACCGCATGCCAGAACAACTCAGCCCCTTTGCCAGAAATCCCTGTACCCGTGTACGACATGATCAAGAAGGGAACTCCGGATTTTCGCGACCGACCGTAAACCCCCCCCTCCAGATATGTGTGAGTTGGACCTGCCTCTCATGCTCCGAATCCCGCATTTTGAAATCCTGGAGCCCTGGATCCCATAGAGAACCCCCAGTTCTTTGAAGTGCAGTCCCAAGCGTTTGCGGTGGCGACGAGCATCAGGGCTCCGAGACCGGATTTAGTTCGGATCTGCCCGGCTTGTCACTGCTCCGTGGGGCTCCTTGCGCTCCAGTCCAGGGCTGTCACTATGATTTGGGAAACCAGAGGCTTGGCTTCAGGGTTTAGGCTTCAATGAGGGAGGAAGAGGAGAAGAGCACCACGCGTTTCGAGTCTCGGATTCACCGGTGCAGTACCAAACGCGTTAGGACCTTGAGATGCTTTGTGCTAAAATCATTGCGTCCTTCGTGCTATACTGGTATCTCGTGGGATGAGGAGTTGGTGTGGCAATGGCTGATAATTTTGCTGCTGGAGGCTCCAAAACGACCCGGCTGGTCGAGGGCGCACTGTCGGGCGTAACTGCCTTTCCCGCAAATCTGTCCGGCACGAACTCATCTCATCCCCTTAAACCCTCAGGGTTTAGGGTTTAGGGATGTTTCAGGGTAGATCCTACGTAAAGGTCACACAACTCGCGCCCATAAATTTTACCGAAGGCGGCTTTGTGCCAAATGAAGGTTGCGACTCGAAGCTGCGATGCCTGTTTCATGTAGGTTGTCGTGTAGGGGCCTCAACCCTTGGGGAGCGCATGTGGCCTTGCTGAGCTTGCATCTGCATGCAAAGCTTGTTTTGCCAAAATCCACGGCTGAGTCTGTGCAATGCATTGACAAGAGCCATGCCAGAATGGGCCTTTTCATGCCCTTTCGGAGTTCTGCCAAGCTCATGTAAACATCAGCTACAGCTACACGTCTGTACGGTGTTGCCACTTCTCATGCGACCTTCCACAGGCAACTCAAACTTGCTGTTGTTGCGCACGTTTTGCCAAAGCATGAGTTCAGTACGGTGGCTCACATATGTGCAGCTTATATCGGAGACCATGTCCCATCCACATAGACGTGCCGTTATTGCGAGGTAACGATTTTCATCACGTCCAACGCTGACACGTTCCAATTGGTGTTATGGTCTTTATCTCAACATCGGTGAAATCCGACGTAGTGCCCAAAGCATCAGGGTTTTGCACTGCGCTGTCAGCTTTGTCCTCTCACAGCTCAGGGTTCGGTGCCATGGGTTTCCGGGCAGCGGAGGGCCGATTTCTGGAAATCTTCCGACCAGCCGTCGAGGAATTCCTCGTGTTTAAACTTGAGCATGTGGTCTGGGAACCAGAGTGGATCAGCCGGCTGCCCCCTTCCGAGTTCAATCTGATTCACCCAAGTTGTAATGAGTAGCAGCACGAGATCCCTCACTCGTGCACCAGGCAACGATTTTAAGCGTCAAGACTGTCAGATGCAATGTTTCAGCGGCTGTACACTCTTCTAACAGTGCTCCTGATCGAAACTGCTGCCAGAGTCGTCGCCCAATGATGGATCGTGGTGCTAAACGCAGCACTGCGAAGCACTATTCGAGCATCGTGCTGATGTTAAAAAGTCGTGTGAAGCTTGATGCTCTTTCCTAGCTACTTTCGCAGCTGCGCATGCGGCTCTCCAGAAGTTGTGCAGGGGCCGTAAAAGAATCCAGCTTCTGCTTGGCTCCAGCACCAGTAGCATGCATGAAGCGATTTGTCAACCAAGACTAAAGCCCACCATACCCTACCCTTACCCCAGCTCAGAAGGTTCCAAGCATTGAACAAGCCATCTCATTTCTTTCACTGTCCGTGATGGCGACTGCAACGGACGGTAGCCGGCTCGGATTAAAAACCGTCCTGCGATTTCCACGCCGAGAGACCGACCAGAAATAACAGCATCGCAGAAGGCTGCAAAATTCCCAATAGACCTCGTGGTGCCCCGGGTGACCTTGGCGGTTCAAACCCATGCCGCAATGAGTCTTGTGGTTCTCCAGGTGCAGAAGCGCCTCTGTGTGTGTTCATGAGCCACGACCCCTTGAGTCTGGATTTGCTGATGAAGAAGGTGCGCAAAGAATGTTGCTCTGCTGGTTACGACCATCGTACCTAAGCATCCACATTCGTTGACCCAGCATGCAAACCGCTCTGTGCAAGAGCTATAAAGGGTGTGTAGGAAGTCCGGATGGACTTAAACTTAGTGCATGTTCATGCTGCGACAACTTTGTCTCGCATACCTCTCAGATTTCAGAACTTATTACATACGCGGACAGCATCGCTTTCCGGCCTTGTAAAGAACTCAGGACATTGTGCCCGGGGGTTCTCGAAATCATATACACCGCAACAAGCATTTCCCAAGCAGCCACCTAGTTCATCCACCTGTTCCGTCCCACTTCCGCAGGTCTCTGACACCGGCTGCGGGGCCATTACCACGTTCTCAGGCTCTGCCTGGATTTGACTCAATAGACAGGCGGTTGCAGCAGAGTGTAGTCGACAAGCAATTCGCCGCTGAGAGCTTGACGGCGGATCATCGGATTTTTTTAATGGGTCGAACACGTGTGGAATTGAATCTGGGAGTTGAAAGTCTTTGAGTCGACATACAGCTGGCGAGGCACCACTCGGGACAACTTCGACGGCAAAGAGGCCATGCAAAGCCTCCGATGTCGAAGCCATGCCGCTGGGGAGCTTTGTTGGGTTGAGCACTTAGAGTCCCATCTCATTTAGTTGGTGCATGGGCATTGCATCACTTGTCGGACAACAGGTTTTCGTGGCTGCTTGTCATCAGAACGTCAGTTGAAAAGCATCGGACAACTGATTTGAGAGTGGATTGACTTATTTCCGAGAAGTATACACAGAGAAGTAGAGCACAATGGATCTCGCGATGGACGGGAATAAGAAAAGTTGCCTCTGCACGACAAAAATACCACGCTCGTACATTCATTCATGTTGCGAAAAATGACATCTCAAGAGTGAGATTGTTACGAAAAAAGTGAACTGAACTCAATTAATCTGCAAAGACTGCCGTCACCACCAGAAATCAGGAAGCATAAGCCCAAAACACTCCCTCGTCGGACACAGAAGCATGCCATCCTAGCATATCCTAGCGGCCATCCTAAAGAACGTGAGGAAGGATCGGTAAACTATCCTGTTCGGGTGCAGGGTGTTGGCACGGAACTCAACTTAGCAGGCCAGGGCCCTGGCATGGACTATAGTGAACCTCATGCACTCCGCGATTGTAGTAGGAAATCTCCCACTGCCCGACAGGAATGCACAACTACTGGTATTAGGCGTGCATTCATGCAGCATGCCGGGCACCAGGGGTTTTGGTAAACTAGCAATACCTTCAAAACTCCAGTCAGGTAACCATCCACCTGTTGCAGGTCGTCCGTCTCGAATACGAAGCTTACGAGCCCATGGCACTGAAGGCGACTTCGTTGGTTCAGGGTGCAATGGAATAAGTTGGCAGCTTCTGGTGAAGCACCCTGAACTGGCGCTTCTCCTGCATTTCGGGGGTTCCACAGAAGTTGACCCAACAGCCTTCAACTATACAGCAGAAGTTTAGCGAGGAGTTGGAGAAGATCTGCCGCGATGTTCTCGGCGGTGCTTGTGGCAAGGGAGTGAGGCCGGTCCGCCCTCGTTCGTGCTGCGGCCAACGAAAGGTTCAGCCCATGCAGCGTAGGACTTAGACTTCCTAAGAAAAGTGGAACCTTCGGCAGTGAGCGGCATGAGCATCGGGATGTTCAACTTAATGGCGCAGTTGGCAAGCGGCGTCACAAAATCCAGATGCTGAATGACCAGGAAGGTGGCATGCGCTCACCGCCTAGGTGTTCGGCCCTCGGGAGACTCCAGTACGATGCAGGTGCCTATGCTTCAGGATGGACGAAGATCATTCCCTTCTGTCACACTCCAAAGCCCAACACAATCCTCCAGGTGGTGCCCCTGGGCGAGGCCTCTGTGCTCATCGCCGTGGCTTCGGAACATCGTGCCGAGGCGGAGTCCCCAGGAAAGCTGCACATGGCTGTGTGCAGTGAGCGAGGAAAGGAAAGTGAGTTTGTTCAGAATCTGTGAGGCTCTAGCGTGCATGCATGCATGCATCTACGTATGTGTGGATGTGTGGATGTAGGTATACATGTATGCATGTATGTGTCTCTGTATGCATGTATGTATGCACGTACATATGTGTGTATATGTAAGTATGTATGTATGTATGTATGTATGTATGTATCTGTAGGTAGGTAGGTAGGCAGGCAGGCAGGCAGGTAGGTAGGTCGGTAGGTATTTATGGTTTATGCATGCGTGTAAGCTGTAAGTATATGTGTATATGCATATATACATATATGTATACACACATATACATTTCCATATACATGTACATGTATGCATACCTACAGACACATGTGTGTATGCATGTGTGAACATATGTGTC